CTATTCTATTCTTTATTCTTCTATTCTATTCTTTATTCTTCTATTCTATTCTTTCTTTATTCTGTTCTATTCTTTATTCTTCTATTCTATTCTTTATTCTATTCTATTCTATTCTATTCTATTCTATTCTATTCTATTCTTTCTTATTCTATTCTATTCTTTCTTTCTTCTATTCTATTCTTTATTCTATTCTATTCTATTCTTTCTTTATTCTTTCTTTATTCTATTCTTTCTTTATTCTAATTCTAATTCCAATTCCAATTCTAATTCTAATTCCAATTCTCGTCTTCCAGAGCTGTGCGGGCCCTCTGCGACCACACAGGGGACGCCGCTGGACACCTGGCCTTTTGCAAAGGGGACATCTTGCAAGTGATGGAGACGGTGGATGAAGATTGGCTGAAATGCCTTTCGGGAGACCGACAGGGCCTTGTCCCTGTGGGCTACACTTCCCTGATCCTGTGAGTCTCATCCTGGGCCCAGGCCCAGGTGAAAGGGAGAAACACGCCCCTAAAAGCAAACGACGAAAGCATCACGGAGGAAACTTCCTAGCACAGCACCAGGGATGGTTTCAAACCGACGTCCTGATTTCCCTCTCTGAAATTCCGAGCTCTGCTTTTCTCGAAGCCAGGGGGTTGGGCTAAATGACCTCCAAGGTCTCTTCCAACTCTTGTTATTCTGTGACTTTCTATGAATCTGGCGGCTTTTGAAACGAGCCTATCCTCCCTTGTCGGAAGCTGGCCGGGGACGATGGGATATATACATATATATATATATATTCCAGGAACCTAGGAGTGTTGCCTTTTTGGGAGCTAGATTGGTTTCTTCCTTGTCAAGGCTGGGCTTCCCGATATTGGTTTGTTCGCCACTCGTGTCCGCTGCACAGCCGCCACAACAAGAGCATTTCTCGCAATGTGTATAGTGCATAGATCTGTGTATATATAGAGAAATTGATATATACATATATATGGATAGATATACATATATAATTTAATCTTTTCGGTTGGTCCAACGATCGGAAACTGGAGCTTCCAATGGGTACTTCTCATCCGGTCTTTCGGTTATTAGTCTTACGATTATTATTTTAAAAAAATCCTCCCAACCTTTAAAATAACAAAACACAAAGAGCCTTGGCAGTCCTCGACTTACAACGACTCCCTTAGCGACTGGCACTAAAAAGCAACTTGGGGTCATTTTTTCGACATGAACGATCATGGCAAAAATCAAAATTCGGACGCTTGGCAACCGATGCGTGTTTGTGACAGGTTGCAGTGTCGTCCCCCCCGAGCGAGTCCCCCTTTTGCGACTGTCCTTCAATTTGGGGGGTGGGTGGAGCCAAATTCGCTTAACGACTCTGTTACCGATTTAAGAATGGCAGGGTTTTGCTTAAGCATGGTCGTAAAATGAGGCGAAACTCTGTGAAAACAAGTGTCTCTCTCGGCCAATGGATATTTTTGAGCTCCGTTGTGGCCGTTAAGTCGAGGACTTCCCATACTGCGAGGGTTGTTAACCGGAAGAAAAATAAGGAGACTAGTATTTAATTAATTGATTAAATTTTTTTGGCCACTGCACGCTCTTCCCAAGCGATCTGTCGGTTCATTCCTTCTCTTCTGCTTTCTAGAAAGCCACCTGTGCACTTGGAGAGGGAAATAAAAACATTGTTCGGACTAAAATAGATCGGTGAGCCAACTCACCTGGCCATTGTACATCCGGATTGTTTCCTGGTTGAAAGGCCTGCCTAAAAAATGACGGATGTGGGGTGAACGAGCCTAGCGTGTTGTTGCAGGCCACGGTTTTGTGGCTAGGGAATCGGCGGCGGCCTGTTGGAGGATTTTGAATTATAATTTGCTTTTTTCCCCTCTTTGAGATGTTTTTGAAAAATGAGTCTTTAATTCAGATTGTGACCTCAGAGATGTATCTTTGGCTCCCTCTGGTGGTGCATGCTGAAAATAACAACTTTAAAAAATAATAATAATGTAGAAGCTTTTTAAGAGTCTCTTCTCTCAAATTTTGGTCATTTGGAAGGAAGTTTGACTACCAGCTGGCTTGCTTTAAGATAGATGGGCTTCGACTCCCAGAATTCCCAAGCCACCATGCCTTTATATGAGTAGACTTCAGCTCCCAGAATTCCCCAGTCAGCCTGCTTTAAGACAGGTAGAGTTCAACTCCCAGCATCCCTCAGCCATCTTGCTTTAAGAGGGGTGGACTTCAACTCCCAGCATCCCTCAGCCATCA